CCCACCGCCATTGCTAATAGATGAAGGCAGTGCCAAGCTTCCAGTAAGCCCAGTTTCAGCGTGGTTTTTTGATGGACCAGATCTGGCATTACTCCAGTGAAAATGTTTCCATAGAACTGTTTTCGGAGAGCCAAACATGAGGAAGGTCCTGGGTGTAGCCAGCTTGTTTGGTGAAGCATTACTTTTGTTTTGTTCAGGCCCTCATTTATAAAGAGTAACCTTCCATACCTTTTCTCTCTGCCACAGACTATTCTTCTGTTTTGTTCAGTGGCTTTAGAATCCCTCGTGCTCTCTGACAGCCGGTGTCAGAGTCAGGTGCCTCCTGCAGAGCTTTCTGCTCCCTATGCCTGTGGCCCGTTTAGGGAACCGTGTTGCAATGGGGGTCCCTAAGACTGGGATTTACCCGCTGTTTGCTTTGTTTCTCCGGGAGAGCGGAAACCAGTGGGTTCCCCTGAAAGCCGCAGAGCAAGGTGGGCCGGCTCCAGAGCAATTGGTCCAAACCTTTTAACATTTAGAAAGGCGATTTAATGAAGAGGCAGAGCACAAAAAGGCTACACAGGAAACAAACATTTCAAAACTCTTTTGGGTCTTTTATTCATTAGCATGGCTGTTGCAGCAATACCCTCTCCATCGTGTGCTGCGGGAACTCTCCAAGAAGCCATGGTCCACGTGTACTTGGTAGCTGCGTTCTGCTCTAGCAAATGGGCATCCTAGACTGACAAATGAGTTACAGTCAAGCTCTTCTACAGTGGTACAGGAACCCAGCCAAGGCACTTGGCTTCCTGCCTGACCTTAGGGGTTGGGCTTTGTCTCCCCTTGATTAGGGTCACCAGAGGTGGCTCGGGTGCTGGGAGGATGCCAGTTCAGGTCAGAATCAGTCCCATGGAGAGGGAAATGTCTAAGCAGTGCAGGCAGCCTCAATGTGCTAAGACCATGGTGGTCTGAGACGTCGGGTTACGTAAGTAAGGGTGAAAGGAAGTTGCCGAGCATACCCGGAAAAACAAAGTGCAGCCAGTTCTTAGAAGTCTACTTTCATGCAACTTCTGTGAAATTCCATATGGAGGGACAAGAGGTGGCTCTTAAATTCATCCAGGATGGCTTTTGCAATGTTTAAGGGAATGAATTGTTGCAGTTTTATTGCCGCATGGGCCACAACCAGATGTGAAAACTGTTACTCTGTGAAGGCATCCTGGGATTCTTGGTTTGTGTTGGCTCTCAGTATCACTGTTCTGGATTGTATCATGGTCATAGGGGTATCTTAGTCTTGGGCAACTGATTCTTCTATGTCAGGGGTCCCCAGCCTTTTTGAGCCTGTGGGCACCTTTGCAGTTCTGATACAGTGTGGTGGGTGCAGCCACAAAAATTCGCTGCCACAGCATGGCTGCCTCAGGGAGGCGGAGCCAGACATAAAATAGCTGCCATAGCTTACCTTCAACCATGCAGTCCTTGTGCTGTGGTGGCAGCTGCTGCCAAAGCAACATTATTTAAAAATCTACACAGCCGTCGTGCCCGCGGGCACCACATTTGGGACCCCTGTTCTAGGTAAAGGGTGTGGCCACTATGGTGCCTGTTCCTTTTTCATTGGTGTGGCAGCTGTGCTAGCAGTAATGGAAGGTGCATATGATACCCAAAGAGAAGCACAGGAAGCTTCTGCGGGAGTGGGAAGTTTTGCTTTTAAAACTGAAGAGTTACAAGGTGCTCATCCGCTCAAGTTGGTGCGCTCCCACCTTTACTAAAAAGTTTAAACCAATAGCTTTAAAGAAACATTTCTGGAAGTAGGGAGATGGGATCCTGGTGTGGTGTAGCAGGCCAGGGAAGGAGGCAGTCCGGTTTGAATGCCCTTAAGCTCCATGGGTGGCCTTGCCTAACTGTACCTTGCAGGGGTGGTGCTTGGGAAGATAAAATGGGGAGGGGAGAACAATGATGTTAAGCTAACCTCAACCATGTGGATGTTGATCAAATAAGCAGTGTGTTTTCCCTTTGGTTCCACTTCTGAAGAGCTTCTGTCTCAGACGTAGCCCGTGCTTTCTGCTATATAAAGCCGGAGAGATAGTTGTGAGACAGGAAAGAACGAGGTCTGAATACCATGCACGCAAAGGAGGATGAGAGTGTTCCGCTCTGTCTGAAGATTCACCATCTGCACAGTCTCTAATTTTACCTCTCAAGCTACCAAATTAGTCAAGTACATGACTGCATTCCAGCACTTAAAGTATCTTCTTGTCCAGTCAACCGATCTGCTATTGTATGCTTGATTACGGGGTTTTTTTGTGTCTGCGTGTTGGCTGATTTTGAAGACTTAATACGGAGGGAGGGAAGATGCAGCAGGTATTTTCCCTGAGCTGACCCTTTAAAGCACGAAATCTCTAAACTGAGGTAGCTCGGACTGTGTGCTCTTTGATCGTCACCTTCCACAAATGATGGTGGTCATCGGCTGCAGACTTCTGTGCAGAGCCGGGTGGGCTGCCTCATGGCTCTGCAGGGATGGGCCAGACAGTGAGCCGGCTGTGTGATGAGAGGGAATTGAGGCCATTCCTATTTATAGGGCTTCAAAGCTCTAACTTGTCACTGCTTTTGACGGCCCCCAATCTAATTATTTTGCAGCAAAGATCAAGCGAATCTTCTTTGTCCAGCTTCTTTCTTCTTTTTTTTGCTTTTTGTTTTGGTGACTCGGCTTGCCTTCTTTCCGTGTTCGCAAACAGGTACTTTGACGGCAACCTGGAGAAGCTCTTTGCGGAATGTCACGTAATTAATCCCAGTAAAAAGTCTCGGACACGTCAGATGAACACCAGGTCATCTGCACAGGACATGCCTTGTCAGATATGCTATCTGAATTATCCTAACTCGGTGAGTATTGTGAAATCAAGAACTTGCACCTTAAGAATAAACAGTGTTTTTGCTCCTCTGAAACCTAAAAAGTAGCCTGTCTCTCTAAGTTAAGAGGAGGCCATGTGTGGCCAGGAGTGTGTTTTCTGTCTTAACTGTTAAAAGTTCACAGTAGTGCTCCAAACCTCTGACCCTCCTCCCCATAGCAGTGGGTTCAGGGGTGTGTTATAGGACCCGTGCTTGAATTGCACTGGGAACCAGCCAGACCTTTTGGGTCTTGCTGTTCACCCTTTCAACTCGGATCCTCAGATATGCCCTACTTCACTCTAGAGTTCTTGTATAATTGTATGCAGTGTTCCCTCTAAGCTGAGTGAGTGTGAGCTAGCTCACAAAATTTTAGCCTCCAGCTCACACATTTCTGTCTCCGCTCAGGAAGGAGGGCTCCAGAGCAAGCTAATTGATGCAGCAGCCAAATCCCTCGCTCACAACTTTAATGCCAGCTGCTCACAAAGGAGAATTTTTGCTCACAAGACTCCACAGCTTAGAGGGAACATTGATTGTATGTTGTGGCAACTCCCCTTTAATAATACTTGTAAGCAGTGTTCACTCTAAGCTGAGTTAGTTTGAGCTAGCTCACGGTTTTTTAAGCCTCCGGCTCACACATTTTTGTCTTAGCTCAAGAAGAATGGCTCTAGAGCAAACTAATTTATGCAGTAGCCAAATCGCTCGCTCACAACTCTAATGCCAGTAGCTCACAAGGGTAGATTTTTTGCTCACAAGACTCCACAGCTTAGAGGGAGCATTGCTTGTAAGCATTCTTAATTGTCCTGATCAGCTTCCTAGCAGGACTATAAAAGTTTGGGAGGGGGTTATCATAACAACTTAATATGCTGTCCTGTAGTATTCTGTGCGTTATATACTATGGTTATTACTTAGTGCAGGGGTTCCCAACGTGGTGCCCGTAGGCACGATGGCACCTGCCAACATATTTTCTGGTTGCCCACCGAGTGTTTTTAATAAGTGGGTGGAACCAGGTAGGGCTTTTGCCCAGCAAGGCTTCTGATTGACTCTTGGATATTTGATTGGCTGTGCAGATTTTTAAAAATGTTGCCTTGGCGGTAGCTGCCAGCACAACACAAGGATCTACACTATGTTACCTAAGTTAAGCCGTGACAATCGTTTTTGTGGCTGGCTCTGCCTCCTGGGGCAGCCATTTTGTTGCCGTTCCCACTGTGTGCCAGGTCAGAATTCCAAAGGTGCCTGCAGGCTCAAAAAGGTTTGGGACCCCTGACTTTGTGAGTGCCTCCTGTGGTGGAGATTGATGCAGTTCCATGGCTGAGTGTAAAAAACTTTGATCCTTGTCCACCGATAACCTGCTCTTAGAACTGGTGCACCTCATGTTAGGTACCAACCCACTGCTTGCAAACTCAGTAAATATTTAACACATGAAAGGGTTCGTTCTGGTCTACTGGTGGTAATTTCAGCCATTAGTGAATTACGTCAGAGACAATATTCTCTTTCAGTGAGCTTTCTTTCTTTCAAAAGATGCTAAAAAACCTTGTGTGTGTGTATTTTAATACTTAATTGGATTGATTGAACCTTTGCACCACAGCAGTGAGCATGGTGTAATGGTTAAAGTGTCAGACTAGGATCTGGGAAACCCAGCTTCAGATCCGAACTCTGCCATAGAAGCTCACTGGGTGACCATGGACCAATCACACACTCCCAGCCTAATCTACCTCCCGGGGCTGTTGTGAGGATAAAACGGAGGGGAGGAGAACGATGTAAGCCCCTTTAGGGTCCCCGTTGGGATATAATAAGTAAAAATCAGTTAAACTTGGCCCTGTTTAAAAACGTTCACACAGATATGTCAGTTGCCTCAAGTTCGGCTTGTATTCTTGAATTTGGAAACTTGTTTTCTTTCTGCGATGTGAACATGCTACTTCTACCAGAACTCTTCAAATACTAAATACATGAACCCCGAATTCCGGAAATTCAGGTTATTAAAAGGTTCCTCTTAGAATAGATTATCTTGGAGTTCAGCAGTAGCACGTAAAACCAGCTGAAAAGCTCTCTTACAGGGGTTTATAGGAGACAAACATTTTAAACACAGCCACGCTCCAGGTGGTTTCATGACAGTTTTGCCAAACGTTCCTATTTCAGCTCTGATCAGTACACGAGTTATCACCAGTGTTCCCTCTATGCTTAGTTAGTGTGAGCTAGCTCACAGTTTTTTAGCCTCCACCTCACACATTTTTGTCTTAGCTCAGGAAGGATGCAACTAATTTATGCAATTAAGCAAACTAATTTACGCAGTAGCCAAATCACTTACTCACAACTTTAATGCCAGTAGTTCACAAAGTAGAATTTTTGCTCACAAGATTCCACAGTTTAGAGGGAACATTGGTTATCACCCCACCCCTTTGGTTATGTCACATGACAGTAACCCCCCAAATCCCCCCAATTTTTTTTTAAAGAACATAACATAAGAACATAAGAGAAGCCAATGTTGGATCTGGCCAATGGCTCATCCAGTCCAACACTCTGTCACACAGTGGCCAAAACACCAGGTGCCATCAGGAGGTCCAGCAGTGGGGACAGGACACTAGAAACCCTCCCACTGTTGCCCCCCCCCCAGCACCAAGAAGACAGAGCATCACTTGCCCCAGACTGTCCCTATCTATACCTTGTGGCTAATAGCCACTGATGGACCTCTGCTCCATATCTATATATCTAATAGCGAAAGGCGCCCCCTGCGTGCGGATACCTAAATCCGCGCATCGGGGGCACCTGGGGGGGGAGGGAGATTTTTGTGCACACTTGGGGCAGTCCCCAGGTGTGCACAAAAATCTAAAAACCTGAAAAAAATATCGGGGGGATACTTAAATCCCCTCAAAAGTGACAGAGCATGCGCAGGGACGCTCTGTGAACTCCCTCGCCGCCGCTGCTTGGGGGGAAGAGAGCAGCGAGGCCCGAGCGCCAAGCCGCTTGGG